CTTTTCCTTTTGCATTTTGGATCATTTTGCTTATAATTTAATTCAGTTTATAGATTTGAAAAGCATGCTTCCTCTTGGGCTGCCATCTGATAAAAATGATGTCAAAATAAGTTTTTTCATAGATCATAAGAAATTGTGAAAGTAACTAAATGGGGACACTTCAGGCTTGGGGAATTATTGGTTAGGGCTCCTTTTGGTGAATAAAGGAACAGCTACCTGGGGGAAATCATATCCCAGCCTTTGTTCATTAATAGAAGGCCCCAATGATCTCCATAGCCTTATGGGAGATATCCCAATAAATGTTATTAAAAATGTATTACTGTCATGTGTTTACGCTGGTCATCACCAAAAGGTTAAGTTTTCTAAAAATGAGACAGCAAGGTTTTCTGATTTAAAGATGCTTCAGTGCAAAACTAAATTAAGAAACAAGATAAAATTATAATATTAATCTCACTGCACCCATTGCAATGTAGTGTCATTAACCTTCTCTTCTAGATGTTGAACACCTGAGGTTTGCAGACCAAAAACTAGAAAGATAGATGGGCTAAGAGGACAGCCAATATTTTGTCCAGGTCCTCCAAGGTCAATGAGGCCCCAGGACATAAGACAACCTCCTCTGGGACACTCTATAATGCAGTGAATTCCTGATCTTCTAACCAAGGAGGCTGTTGGACCACAGAGGAAGGAGATTAATGGTGTTTAGTGTGCCTAAGGAGAGTCACCAGCACAGAAAATTCTCCCAATCTTTCACAGAAAGCAACTTGGTCAAGCAATAGCCATGACTCATCCAGACAGCTGACATTGACAGGAGAACTAAGAGGTGCTGTATATGGTTCCAAGGTAAATCCTGAGGAGACTTAATTCACTTTTGAAAGATAACAAGAAATTAATTTTAATTAATACAGGTCTCACTTTAACTTGCACTTGAACATTCAGCAGTAAAATATAACCATGAAATATAGAAAACAATGCCATGGTAATATGCTAGCTATAAAAGAAACTCAAAGCACCAACGTCTTCTGACAATTTCCAGCTACACTGATAATTGACTATTGTTATGGGTTAATAAACTGTATAGAGTGAAATTGCTGAATGCAGGGACCTGAAATCTTTGGACTGGGAATTTTAGCCTAAATGAGTAAGCTCACTCAGAATGGAAAGTGTTCAAGAAGGAGAAGGTTTTCTGTGCAGTCTTCCAAACACAGCTTCTCCAACTCCTATTGACCATCACTTGCAACTACAAACAAAAAAATGAGCAGATGTGGGGAGTGGCTGAAGCTGAGGATTGATCACCCATGTGGGGCTAGAGCAAGGCCAGCCCCAAATGCACAGAGGGCCTGAGGCAAGCCAGGTGAACAAGTTGGTCCAGCTCCTAAGAACATGATTTGCCTAAGGTGGGTTAGGCAAACAAGTTGTTAGACGGAGGGGTTTCACCCATCATCAACCTGCCCAGTGTATAAATAAATGCACTGTAGTCCTTGGGTGGTTCTTTTCTCTAACCAAGAGAGAGGGCTCCATCTGACCTCAGCTTTTGGCATTTTCACTCTTGTCTTCACTTCTTCACAGTCCTCCCCTCAGGAGTTTCTCAACAGCTTCATTGGACTTGGCAGGTGATAGAATATTCAGGGTGGTCAACATGAGGCCCACCAGGTAAATATACAACAGATCAGCCAAAATGCTGGCTAGGGGAGGAAAACAGGTGACAAGGGAGGAACATCATAAATATCTATAATGGCCTTGGCACCAGCTGTCACAATGAGTGCTATAATTTATTTTAATATCTCTCCTGCCTTGTGTAATTTAGGAAACTGTGATTAGCCACCAATTTGAAGGAGATTCTATCAAAGATTTGACTTGCAACTTCTCTAAGGGAACAAGTGAGACACCTTGCACTCACCAAAACCAAAAGTAAACCCTACATTATAATATTGGAGCTAGATATGATAAGAAGTGAGTCTGAGCAATTCAAACAGTGATTCATCTTAATGAATGTATTAAACTCATCTTAGGAAACATCCTCTGATCTGGTTGGTCCCTCTGTCTATGAGAACCTCACCACCTCCATCATTATCCATTCGTTGAAGATGCAAGTGGTTCCACTGCCTGAGGCCAACCTGTCGTCCTCTGGAATCACTGGCTTTTCACATACCAAAGGTCATGAGGTCTCACTTTCCACCCAATTGATGGAGGGGCTAACTGATACAGACAGGAAGTCTAGGAGAATTAGCACCTATTCAAGATAAGAAGGAGCCAGAGTTGCCCTTTCCTCTCTCCAGTGGACAGCTCCAAGACATGGTTTCTTTTTCAGCCTTAGGAGAAAACTCCTGAGGGAAGATAGGTCCCTTGAAGGCTGATTTATTGAGTCTTTGTATTGTATAGCAGAGGCCGATTAATTAACACTTCTTTCATTGTCTCCTAGCCCTGCTGGCTCATTTTCCATTCTCTTTATTTTCTAGTTGTGGAATTAATTCTTAAATCAACCGCTAGCTTATAAGCTTGATTTAGGCTTTGTTTCCCAGGGAACTCAAATGAATAGGCATCTAGATACTTCTGAATCTAAATTTTAAAATTCAGTGTGTATAATAAATGTATTCATCTTTTTATATAAATGCATCTAGAGAACTACTTCATCATTTTGTACTTCATTTCAAAGCTTCCTTTTAATTATTGAAGGTTATGTTAGCCGTAAGTACTAATTTAATTTTATGAACCAGTGAATGTCAAAGAAAAGGGAAAGACAAGTTGAAATAGATGTTTACCACTACCTGAAGACAAAATTAAGTTTGGATAAGGGATATTTCCAAGTAGTTTGAATATAAGAAAGTGTGGGACCCATGTGGATTTTCATTTGAGCTCTGACAAACTTAAAAGTCTATGCAGTAGCTGAGAAGCCATAATTTATGTTCTGAAAGACATTTAATTTCAGCAAAATAAGTTAATGGTATTAATTTAAACTTGACTGACTGTTGGGGATGTAGAATAGGAAGAAGAGAGGGCTGATGAGGAAACTTGAGAGTTTCTTTTACAAAGTGGTATAGAAATTGTATCTTTTCTCTCAAATATAAGGTAATAGATACTATCAATATTACTTGCTAATGCTTCTCATGTGGGTGAGTTTTCTAAGGGGAACATCAAGAGCTGCTGAGCTTATGTCAGGCTCAATGAGGATAAAAATAAAGAAGACCATCAGTTATAATTAGATATTGAACATGCAAAAGTCAAGCCTCCGTTGGGTAGGGTTAGCAAGGGTTGTTGGTGTCACCGGGTGGGTCAGTTTCCCTGGGTGGACAAACATTTTTAAGTAAAGAGATCTTTCAGTGTGCTAGGCATTAGTATTTCCAGGGAATTGGGTGTGAGCTTCCCCACCCTTAACAAACATCTGGTACAGCCCGTGTATTCTTCTACACTGAAACACTTAAAATGTACACAACTTGACATTAAGCTATAGCTGTTTTCACACCAAAGACAAATGCAAAAATGAAACACTTACGTCAAGAGGTTAAAGTCCTGTGATAAATCACCTTTGATAAGTTGGGGAAATTGTGTGTATATTTTCATATATATAAGGGTAAGGAACATTGTCTCTCCCTAAGCAACATTGTCCCAAGTGAGACGCACAGCCATGGGATCATATAAGAGTTCTGTCTTCATCTTGGTCCTTCACCTTTTAGAAGGGGCCCTGAGCAATTCCCTCATTCAGCTGAATAACAATGGCTATGAAGGAATTGTCATTGCAATTGACCCCAATGTACCAGAAGATGAAGCACTCATTCAACAAATAAAGGTAAGTTCAAAGTGATGCTTACTATGCTTTGATAATGAGCAGTAGTAATGACCTTAACCGGCACAGTATTGTGACAGAACATAAATTCTCCAATTCTAGATACATGACGATGGCAAGTTATTTTTGTCTGAGTCTCAGTTTCTTCATCTGTAAAATGGAAATAATAACCCTTAATCATCATGGTTCTTGTGAGGGATAACGTGAACGCAACACACATAACTCGGAGTTAGTTCCATTGTTGGCATTTGAGAAGGATGTCTGTATTTACTGACTAGGATTATTTGACTGAAAATTACTGCATTCTACATTAATGCAGAGTCAGCTTAGTTTGCCAGGTACTGTGATATGCACAGGATAATTCCTTTGTCTGATTTCACCACAAGCACATATCAGGCTCTTTTTTTATTCTCTTAACTATAATCCCCCTCCCTGTGATACCAAATAGGAGCCCAGGATGCAAGCCCCAATTTAAGAACAACTCAGGCTTCCAGGAAAAGAAACTGCATTTTGTCAACCTAGAAGCAAGGATCCCCTCAGGACCGCTGAGGGGCAGCACCTCACCTTTTGTCCTCTTGCATGGGAGAAGGGAAAACAATATGCTTGGTGTTCTGGCAAAGGCGTCCAAATTCTTGTCAGGTTGGAGGGCTTAGAGGTTTTATACAACTGCAAACAGCTAAAAATATGAGCGAAAAGCCTTTTGAAAGATCACCCTAGAATGTGGCTGCAGCAGATCCAGAGGCAGAATTGCATAGAGTAAGAGTAATCTGTAAAATGGAAATGGTAAAAAGTAGGGCATCATGAGAATAGAATATAAAGACGCAAGCATATAAAGGGAAGTTGGTGAAAATTAAACAGGAAATCTGTGCAATTTTCTGCATGTCTTCTGCAAGTCTGAAATCATCTCAAAACTTTAAAAATAACTCTAAAATACATCATATATGTTGCTTTACAAGTGATATAGTCACGAGTCACATGTCCTAGTTTTACATCTCTAGATGGAAAGTGAATAGTACAAGGCTCAGAGATTCCTCCCCTAGAAATAAAACCAGAAAACTGGAGTTTCGAGAGAGAACTACTTCTACTTGTGAGGAGGTTCTTAGTCCTCAGCCCATGTTGTATGACATTCTGCACGTTCACTCACTGGTTCTTCTGAGCCTTCTTTGTTGGTTCCTTCTCTGCCCACCTGGAAATGTTAGAGTTCCCTTCCTTCCCCTGTCAACACTGCCAGTCCTGACAGACTCTCCCTCAACCCCCTTCACAGCAATAGTCTGTGTGACTCTGGCCAAAACCCATCTCAGCGTCTGCAAAGGCATTTAACACTGTGGCTCTTTCCTTTTAGAGAAATAAAGTTATGTGTAATTTAAAAATATTTAATGATGCCAACTCCTTGTACCTACCTCTTAGTACTATACTAAAAGTGAAGCCACCATAACATGCAACATTAAATTTAGTTTAATTTGGTATTAGATCCCAAAATTATTGCAAGACTTGGCAAGGGTCAAGGTCATACTCACTTAAACTTTCTCTCCACTACTCTTTGCTAAGCCTCAATTTCTTCCTGAAATGTGCATTGATCCCCAAGGGAAGACATGCAACAGAACTACTAGGTGAGATTTCATAAGCACTTACTTGTGCTAAGAAAGCACTATTCTTTGTGACTCACGTGTCTTATTTCATTTGTTCCTCTCTCCAACATTATCAGGTAGTCACTATATTTTCCATTTAATAAATGGGGTACTTAGGACTCTGGATTAGAGAGTGTCCAACAAGTGGTTAAGACATGATTAGTATCTGCTTCTAGCATCTGGAGTGCTCACCACTGTACTGTATTACAGAGCATGTGGGAAATGCTGAGGAAGCTTAGCTGCTATTATTAATAAAGTATGTCCACATTTGCCCTTCCTATCTGGTTTTTCCAAGGGTAAAATACAGGCATACATTTAAATGATTGGTGTCCTAGTCTATTTTCAGTCAAAATCCTTGTTTTGGGTTTGCCTTCTTTCTTCCTAGGACATGGTCACTGAGGCATCTCCATACTTGTTTGAAGCTACAGAGAAAAGATTTTATTTCAAAAGTGTTTCCATTCTGATTCCTGAAAACTGGAAGACAAAACCTGACTATGTGAAACCAAAACTTGAGACCTACAAAAATGTGAGCATATCACGTTCTTTTCTCAAAGTTATTTTTCTTCCGCGACCTAGATTTTTTTTAAGTCAAAATACTCCTGAATCAGATGGAATTGTTTGAAAATACTCCAGGATGGTTGCTGAAATGTTGTGATGATAAAAAACCTTTTGTGAAATTGCAGGCTGATGTTCTGGTTGAACCGAATCAACCCGGTAATGATGAGCCCTACACCGAGCAGGTCGGAAAGTGCGGAGAAAGGGGTGAAAAGATTCATTTCACTCCTGACTTCTTAGCGGGAAAGAAATTGGATCAATACGGACCGCAAGGTACTGACACGGATAAAACGTTCTACTATGTCACTCTTACTCCCATAATTGTATTTGCAAAGTGATTACATAATTGTATTATCTTTGTGAATTAGCCTGTGGAAGCTCAATAAACTGACAAAGCGTGGTTTTCCTCATGTAAAATTCAGGACAAAATGTTCCTCAGCTATAACGTATTATTTTGCATATATGTGTAAATGTAGTATTTTAATTTGGAAAACATCATAGTACCAGATAATAACCATAAAGTAATGTAATACACTGTGTAGTGTTAGGTTTCTACAGACCTGAGGAGATTCACCTAAATGAAACCTCCTGTCTGCAACTTAGGTGGTGGCCACCAGAGGGTGCAGACCCACGGTGCTTTCAGACTTTGCTTTCTTTGCAATTACAAACAGCTCATGTTAAAGGTGGACCCGGGCTCAAGAAGAGACCCGAGCTCCTGGATGGTGCTGAGACCCCTGGTCGATGTACCACCTCCCTGAGGAGCAGAGTATCCTTTGGCACTTAAAAGCCTGTTACCAAAAAAACGTCCAGTTTTCTTTTGCAAAGAAAGAACTTTATCTAGCAATAGCTCTATATGAGCTTTATCTAGCAATCTTTCAAGGAAGTGTTAAAATAAACAAGCAACGAGGTATGTATAACATACGCTATCCAAGTATAATCAAATGTTATTAGTTAATAAATAATTGCGAAGATTTATCTAGCTGGCTCATCTCACTTCCAGGCACGATAGTGAAGAAATTATACTCCCTGGCCTTACAAAGACGGGTGTCTGGCGTGGAAGACTAGCAAGGAAGCACCAACGACACCATTATCTAAGTGCCCTAGTAGATGTGAGAGCTCCAAGGAGGAGCACATGGCCTAGCCTGAGTATATCAGGAAAGGCTTTTAGGTAAACAGAAGCTGCATTTTGAAACAACAGTGGGAGCCTGGCAGAGATAGGGAGAAGGCATTCCACCAAGGGGAAGACTGTGAAAAGAACAGAGACGGACAAGAGGATGAGGTGGCTTAGAGGGCAGAAGTTTAAGAATTCATCTCAATTGTAGAGTTTCAGAAGTGGGTGGAGAAGAATGAGAAATAGGGCTGTAGAAAGGAGCAGGACCTGAAACATCAGGTACCTGGTCTCCTTTGCTGAAGAGTTGGACCGGGCACCATACATGTTTCCTCACACACCATGAGCTGTGTGGGAAAGGGCCACTGTTTCATCTTTGGGTGAATAACTGCCTGGCACTTACTACATGCCTGATTAACATTTGATAAACCAAAATGAGTGTTTATGCTTTACAGAAATGTACACTTGTCATATTAGATCATTCTAAGGGACTCAAACCTCTAATGTAAAAAAAAAAAAAAACAAACAAACACAAAAACAAGAAACTTATCTGGGCATGGTGGAGCATGCGTATAATCCCAGCACTCAGGAGGCTGAGGCAGGAGGATTGCAATGAGTTTGAGGCCATCCTGGGCTACATAGTGAGTAGACTAGCCTAGGCTACATAGTGAGACCCTGTCTCGAAAAAAAAAAAAAAATCTACTAAAACATAATAAACATTTGAAACAGTTGCTTCCTGTTCTTGTGAGGTTATCTTATCATTCTTATTCTACTCAGGTGTCCAAAATATTTTCTCACAGGCAGGGTCTTTGTCCATGAATGGGCTCATCTACAGTGGGGAGTATTTGATGAGTACAACAAGGATGAGAAATTCTACTTATCCAAAGGAAAACCCCAGGCAGTAAGGTATGTATATTTGTATTTCATCTTATCAAACTATTTTAAATTGTCTCCAGTTTCTTCTAGCATTTATTACTCTAAAAATCAGTCTTTTTATTTTTCTCTAATTCATTCTCATAGTGCATTTTTTTGACTTCTACAAGACTACCGCCTTGCATTCTTTCAAGCTCATTAAATTATCTACTTTTCAGCTATAAACCATTTGCCCCTTTTCAAAAAAAGAAAAATAGTGTGGGGACTATAATAAGTTCATGTGCAGCGTCTGTATTCCTGCTCCAGAATCAGTGATGTGAGAAGTGACAGGGCTCTCAAGACAATGTAACACTGTGTGGACTTTGTCAATATGAGCGGGTCTGGGGGCAACTGTGGAACTTACCTGAAAGACAATGCAGATATTAAAACAAAGCAAAATATCTCCACAGTTTGAATTAAACCCTGCATGATGTCAGAAAAAGAAAAAAAAAACTAAGTCACACTTGCAGAGTATTTTTAGCAGCCACAACTTTATGGGCAAGCTCTGGTGACCAGTAATTTCTTTGTATATAAACTGCATTAGTACAAACGTACCTGGTAGGAAACGCAGCAATTTCTTTAAAAGCTCGGATAATTCAGATACTAAAATTTGACAGATGAAGTGAAGAAACAAACTGTAGTTAAGGATCTCTAAAACAATGAGGATTTTCAAGGACAGGATAATAAGTTCTAGCTGGGAAAATTAAGGAAATAACCAACATAAAGACCTCATAGGATACTATCAGCAATCCCAAAATGTAATGTTAGGTAGGTGATATAGTACTTCAAGGAAAGGAAAAAAAATAAATGCGTATTCAAATAGTCTCAAAATCAACTTGACAAAACTGTACGTTTTTTCATGTATTAAAAAGCAGTAACTTCCCTTTAGAGAATAAAAGTTGGTACAACACCCTGTCTGCCTCCAGCCTTTCAGAACCAATGTTTCCTAAGGAAATATGCTCAGCTTCCTTCATTATTAGTCTTGACTTGGTACAGTCGTCACCAACGGTGGCTGCCCTGGGCCCAGTACTCAACCTGACCTCCCGCATGAATATTACTGTCCCCCATGTTTTGCTTTCAGTATTACATTCCAGCTCTTTCAACACTGTCCACTTCCATTACACCACCCTCACTGTTGGTTAAATGGACCCTAGGTACATTACCAACTCCCAGAGCCACGCACACTCTCTCAGATTCCTTCAGCTTGTATCCTTGGCATGACATGGCTCACAGCCCATGGTGGTTTCCCCGATATAATACATGCTGGCTGACCTTTCAAATTTCAGCCAATGGGCACTCTTCCAAAGCTGACATCTGCCGTCCTACTTCTCTTTTCTGAGCTTCTGCATAATGAAGATGCTGTGTCTTCTTTTGAAAGGCTGATTCATATATATTCCCTTTGGAGATATTCTAGAAAAACCCATACATCAGCATGTTCTTCCTTCCACAGAAACTATGTATACTACACTAGCAAAGCTGATATGATTGTCATGTCCTCTTAAAAAGAAATTTTATAGCACACTAATAATATGTATTGCTTCCTATCATCCAAACTTTTAAATTACTCTTTAGGCCTAGAAGCAATCACCAAAATGATAGTACTTCTTAAAATAAGAGGTTACTTCTTGAATATGACACAGAACATTTATGAAAGCCTAGGTACTTTACCAACTCCCAAGCCAAGTCTATAGCACATTTAATAAAGAAACACTAGACACATTCCCAGGAATAAGGGTGGACACTATGACCACAGTTATCCAAATTTGTTTAGGAAGCTGTAGTCAATGCAATAACACCGGAAACTTGGGAGGTACAAGGAAAAGAAAAAAATGCCTTTATGCAAATGGTATGTAGTCCATTTAGAAAGCTCGATGTAAATAAATTGAAATTAAAATCAAGGGAGCTGGGCACGGTGGCAAATGCCTGTAATCTCAATACTTGGGAAGCTAAGGCAGGACGACTGCTGTGAGTTCAAGGCCAGCCTGGGCTACATAGTGAGTTCAAGACCAGTTTGGGCTACATAGCAAGACCCTGTCTCAAAAATAAAGAAATGAATAATAAATAAATTCAACAGTTACAAAATGAACGGTCAAATTGCCTTTCAATATATTAGCAGTAATCACTTCAAAAACAATGGGAAAAATACTCCTCTAAGATAGCAATTCAGTAAAAGAACTCTTAGAAATATGAAAGACATATTTGAAGAAATTATTCTTTCTCAAACACTTGAATAAAAACCAAGGTAAAATTAATAAACTTTCAATTCACAGAAGATATACAATTTTCAATGAAAATTCATATGTAGGTTTTAGGAAACTTCAGTCAAAAGAATATCTGTTTTTATCTCCTTTGAAAAATCCTAAAGTTAATTTAACTGAGATAACTTTTGAAAAAGAAAATAAAGGGGACATTTACTTACAAAATTTTTATTATCCTATAAGAACTAAAAATAATATGAACTGACAGTCACTTACATATATGATTTACTATTTAATATAGTTTGAATTGCAAATCTGTGAGTAAAGAGAGGAATTCTGAAGATAGGAGGAACATTTTTGATTTGCATCTCTCAAATGACCAGGGTTGAACATTTTTTCATATACTCATTTGCTATTTGTATTTCTTCATCTGAAAAGTGCAGATTCATCTCAGATGCCCATTTTTGGATTGGGTCTTTGAATTGGAGAGTCTACTTATTTTCAATTCTTTTGTCTGAGGGACAATTGTCTAAAATTTTTTCCCACTCTGTTGGTTGTCTTTTCACTCTGTTGGTGATTTCTTTTAGATACGCAAAATCTTTTTAACAACACATGATCCCAGTTGTTGATTCTTGGAAGTATTTCTTGTGAGGTCTGGGTTTTGGTCGTGAACTCCCTGCCTATACCTATGTCTTGAAGATTTTTATCTACTTTCTCTTCCAGCAGATTTAGTGTTTCTGTTTTAATATTTAGATTTTGGTCCATTTTGATTTTAGTTTAGTGCATAATGATAGATATGGTTCTGGTTTTAGTTTTTAGCATTTGGAAAGCCAGATTTTCCAGCACCACTTATTAAAGAGGTTATCTTTCTTTGAGTGAACATGTTTGGCCTCTTTGTCAAAGAGAAAGTGGCTGAGTTGTGTTTACAGTTGTGTCTGCATCTTCTAATGTATTCCACTAATCCTCAGGTCTGGTTTTCTTTTTGTCTGTACCATACTGATTTTATCACAGTAGCTTTGTAGTATAATTCCAAATCATGGATTGAGATGCCCCATGCCTTACCTTTGTTGCCCAGAACTGCTTTTGCTATTCTAGGTTTCTTCTGTTTCCAAATGAATTTTAGGATGATTTTCTCTAGTTCTGTGAGGTGTGATAATGGTGTTTTGATTGGGATTGCATTAAATCTGTATAAAAATTTTGGGAGCATAGCCATTTCACTATGTTGGTTCTTCCTATCCATGAGCAAGTGATATCTTTCCATTTTATGATATCTTCTTCAATCTCCTTTTTTCAGTATATTGTAATTTTCAATGTATAAATCTTCAACTTCCTTTGTTGGATTGATTTCTAAGTATTTCATTTTGGGGGATGCTATTTTGAAAGATGTGGTTTCCTTAATTTCACTCTCTGTGAGTTTATTGTTTGTATACAGGAATGCTTTCAACTTTTGAACACTGACTTTGTATCTCACTACACTACTGAATTTGGATACTAAATCTAGAAGTGTTTTGGTGGAGTTTTTGGGGTCTTCTATGTAAAGTATCATGCCACCTGCAAATACTGATAATTTAACTTCTTCCTTTCATATCTTTGTTCTTTTTATTTTTTCTCTTGTCTAATTGCTCTGGCTAATATTTCCAGATCTAGACAGAATAGGAGCAGTGATAATGGACATTCTTGTAGCTGGTTTTAAACTGAAAGCTTTCAGGTTTTGACCATCTAGTATGTCAATAGCTGTTGGATGGCTTTTATCAGATTGAGGTATAGACTATCTATTCCAATTTTCTGTAGGGTTTTTATGATGAATGGGTATTGGACTTTTTCAAATGATTTCTTGGTCTCTATTGAAATGATTATGTGATTTTAGTCTTTAGCTCTGTTAATATGGTGTATTACATTTATTGATTTGCATATGTTGACTCATCCCTGCATCCCCGACATTAATCCTACGTGGTCATAGTGTATAATCTTGATGATTTGCTGTATTCAGTTTGCCAATATCTTATTGATGACTTTTGAATCTATATTCATTAGGGAGATTGGTCTGTAGTTTTCTTTTCTGGTTGGGTCCTTCTCTGGTTTAGGTATCAGAGTACTGCTTGCTTACTCATTAATTTTTTTAGTATTGACAAATTAGGGGAGAAATTAAATTAAATAAAGTGTGCTGAATTTACATTATGCGTAGTATCAATGGATAAATTATATAAAATACATTTTTGAAAGAATATTAAGTTATACATTAAAATCTATTTTAAAATTTACTAACATATAAAGATTTTTAAAAGCAGAGAACACTTGTGCAATATAATGTTGATATATAGAATGAGAAGAAAATGCTTCAACAGATTAACAGTGGTTTATTTCTGATAGTGAGACTTTTTCTTCTTGAACTCTACTTTCTTATTATACTTTTTGTGTTTTTTCCCAAATATGGTATAATATGTATTGGTTATATAATCAAAGTTATAATTGAAAAATAAAAGATGGGGAAAATAACTCCATTTATAACAACAAAATTGATAAGCTTTTAAAATACCCATGAACATAAAGGATCTATGAAAAACTGTATGAAATAAACCAATCAGAAAAAGCAAAAATAAACAGGACATGTCAGCACATCTTTTGGGAAAAACAAAGAGGGTTCCTGATTTTTGAGGAACTAGGACAGATTAGGAGGTGGCTAAAGACTTTGATCCCTATTAATGTTGATAGCAGCTATAGCTAGACTTTGGTGTCTGCTACATAAAAATAAACTCTGATATTTTCTAGCAAATGGAAAATGACTTCAATGAAAATTCAGTAATTTTGCTATGTAAAAGCATGCTTTTGTTTCTTGAATTATAAAAAGAAATCATAGACAAGCAATTTATCAGAAACTGAGCATAATCTGCCCCTTTGAAATGATTGCATCTCCTAACAGTGTAACCTTAACTTATTTTCAGATGTTCAAAAGATATTACTGGAGAACATACAGCACTTAAGTGCCAGGGAGGCAGCTGTTTTGAAGGAAAATGCAAATTCAACAAATTAACAGGATTGTATAATAAAGAATGTGAGTTCATACCACATAAGCAACAGACTGTGAAGACTTCCATAATGTTTGCACAAAGTATTGATTCTGTAAGTACCTTGGTTTTTTCCCCCAGACTCTTACCAGTTTAGTGAGGCTTTTCCCCAGTGCTCCAGAGAAGATCAAATTTTAGAGAAAATTTTGTAGAAACTATCAGCTTTAGGAAACAATCAACAGCTAATTTTCTGGGACAAGCTGAGAGCACAAAATCAGGGATAAAATCACAACCTCCCTTTATTCTGTCCTATGTCCATTCTTTCTTGTTCACCATCTTTCTTCCACTAGCTTTTAATTTTAAGTGTTTAGAATGACTTCAGATACTCTTAACTCCATGCAGGCATACAAACTTTTAAATGAGACATTTACACAGGAAGATGATAGGCTGTTCTTTTCATTAGGCAGGAATGAAAATAATGAACAGTAGTCCTTACTTTAACTTCAAAAGAACTCTTTTCTGCTTGCATATTTGCCTTTAATTGTTAACCAAAATTTCAATGATTTAAAGTTGTTAATACTCTTAAGGAGTTCTTTCATGGTTTTAATGGCTTTAAACAGTGTAAAAATACTTCTTACTGTTTAGTTTGACTTGATTTGGTTTGTTGAGATCAGGTTTTGCTAGGCTGACCTCACACCCCTGAGCCTTCTGCATCAGCTTCCTCTGAGTGCTGGGGTTACAGATGTGCACCACTGTGGCAAGTTTATTTTGTATTTTTGATAACCAATTGGTCATAAGTGAACTTCACTCTCCATATTAATGTTAAATGTATAGACTAGCAAATTTTCACCAGATAAAATGAAATGCATGAGCTGACTGAGTTTAGTGGGGAGCCCTCATCTTCCAGTAGCCTACATAAAATTAAGTTTTCCCATTGGAATAAAGGGCTAAGTAACTTACCAGAATATATCAATAATGATGTGATATAATTTAAAATGTTTGATGAACCATAGTTTACCAGGCCCACCTCTCAATCTATCTCTGCAGTCTACCCCCAAACCTATTAAGAAATTTTCAGGAAGTGTTCAGATAATGTACAGATACTCTTTAACTTATGGCTGGGTTAAGTATCCCAATAAGCCCATCTTAAGTTGAAAATACTGTAAGTTGAAAATTCATTTAATACTCCTAACTTATAAGGCACCATAACTTAGCAATGCAGAGCACCAGAGTGTGGGTTGTTTACCCTGTGGTGGACTGGGAGCTGTGGCTCACTGCCTCTCTCCCTTCATCATGAAAGGATGTCTAACTCAGGAAATTACTAAAATTCAAAGTGCAGCTTTTATTGATTGTCTCTTTTGCATCACCGAAGTTGAAGAACCCCAAGTTGTACCATTATCAGTCAAGAGCTATCTGTGTTTTAAATTAGCTACAGAGTTAAATTTGATGTACAGATTTGGGGAATTCTGGTTGAGGTTCACATAAAAGCTTTTCAGGTTTCTTTGTTAAAAATCAGCCATGCTGGCCAAGCATGGTGGCACATGCCTGAAACCCCAGCACTCAGGAGGCTGAGGCAGGAGGATCATTGTGAGTTTGAGAGCAGCCTGGGCTACAAAGTGAGCTCAACACCAGTCTGAACTGCATAACAAGACCCAGTCTTAAAAAAGAAAACAAAAAGAAAAAAAATCAGCCATACTAATAATATGGGAAAACTATCAAAATTTATGGGTTGGAAAATGCAAATAAAGAGAAAGTAAGTGTTTTACAAGTAATAGTTACTTTCTAAATTATTAGACTCCAAGATATTTAAGATTTTTAATGGAATAATAGTATACAGTCACTGAGATGAGGAATTAGATTACTTTCTTTGTATACTGTGTTTCCCTTTTTAGTTCCTCAAATGCTAGGGACATAAACACCAAGAAAGGAAGAAGGAACCATTTTTTATTCGCTGTTAGTGCTGACTCTATTGCATGTATTTTATATTACTCTTGCATAATAAATGCCATCATTTTGCAGACTAAAATATTGAGGAATAAAGGGGATAAGGTTACTCTAAAGGCAACAAATTTAACATTGACCTTGTATTATGTGTTAGACACAGGGCCAAATTTTGAGGTACTAAAATTTAATGAGAAAAGTTTCTTGTATGGATGGTTTTATAACCGAATGCATGCACCACAGTGTTAGAAGGACCTTCTTGAAGTTTCTATGTTGTACTATAAGACCACAAAGAGTTGATTAGAAATTCTCTGGAGAAGGACAGAGCCCACCAGCTCCATAACTCTACATGTTCATAAAAGAACTCATCACCTTTCTCCAACACTGCCCCTGCCCTGTGTGTGTTACCTAACTCACTGTCACTATGAAGCCTCCAGCTGCCCATATCTGGAAACTGGAAGTTTCCCTGCCTTCCTCTACAACTAAAAAATAACCAAAATCAATACATTTCACCAGTGGGACGTCCAAGTGGATTACAGAGAAAGCTGGAATGATGGGTGTTGAAAGTCAGAAGAAGTGTATTGGCCAAGGAGAGGGAAGTAAGGAAGTGAAGTTTACTCATGCAGGGAGTGGGGGAGAAGATGGTACCAGGAGAAGGGTGCTGAAAATGGTGGTGAGAGGAGAGTTGTGAGGACTTGGACCTGCAAGTCTGAGGATTAGACCAAAGCCACCTGCAGTAGGTAAATGGATTTCTGAGGAGCTCTGTGGGTACAGCGAAGTTCAAGACATGGTGTGAGGAAACATCTCCAAATGAAGGCTAAGACATTCCCCCAGAATCCTCTGTAGTAGTTGTGGTGGTGAGCCACAGTATAGGTTAGCAAGGCGGACTGGGAAAAAAGATGGGAATTTAAACTATGAGCTATTTGAATAAGTACTTTACTGTTCACTATATTATTTTACTGACAATTTCAGGTGGTTGGGTTCTGTACCAAAAAAAACCACAATAAAGAAGCCCCAAACATGCAAAACCAAAAATGCAATCTCCAGAGCACATGGGAAGTGATCAGCAACTCTGAAGACTTTAAGAAAACCACGCCTATGACAACAAACCCACCCAACCCCACCTTCTCCTTGCTGCAGATTGGACAAAGGGTCGTGTGTTTGGTCCTTGATAAATCTGGAAGCATGGTGGTATGTTGACTGAGCCTTGTCTTCTCTATACCTCTCATAAATATGTGTATGGTACGCTCTGGAACACAGCTTTGAACTGGCTGGGAAAAAATGCTAATGCAGAATTAGAATAATCACAGTAACATTACCATCAGAAATGCCCCCTTTACTTCATTCCACAGAGATTTGGCATCAACTGTTTCATTTTCCAAATTAAATTAGCTTTAATTCGTGAGCAAAGATCTGCTAAGTGACATAAACTCAATTTTTTAATGTTTCACTGACATTATCTAGATCTACAGGACTAAAATTCTATGTAGGACTAATCTAGAGCTATCACTAAAGCATTGTACTTTAATGGTTGTGTTATCTGGTTTTATCTTTTACTATTTATGCAAAGGTTCTAAAATTCTACCCAAAGATGCTGCTAAACGTAAGTGGAAAATTTCCACCATAAGATAGGCCTCAAGCAAGTTTCTTGTTATTCACTCTATCTGAAGGCAGCCACCTCAGAATACCCTCTAGCTTGTTCAATAATTAATCTGTTCATTTAAACCTGACCTCAATGCTTTCTTTTTGCTTTTCCATCCAGAATGGTGACCGCCTTAACCGCATGAATCAAGCAGGCAAGCTTTTCCTGCTGCAGACTGTGGAGGACCGGACCTGGGTTGGGCTGGTGACATTTGACAGTAGGGCCCAAGTACAAAGTGAACTGAGACAGATAACAAGCAGCACGGACAGAGATGCACTCTCCAAAAGGTTACCCACCATAGCTTCCGGAGGAACGTCCATCTGCACTGGCCTTCGATCAGCATTTACTGTGAGACATGTTCCGCGATTGTGGTTTGCCAAGTTTGCAATTTTTTTTCCTAAGAAATGTTTCCAGTGTTTCCATATATGGCTAGTATCTAACTGAATGAGACAACCAAGAGCAAGGCAATGCTTCAGATGATGCAAAGACATAGGCCCCCAACACTATTATTAACTAATTTATTCATGGTTTTGTGCTTTTCTGCATCTGTACAGTTATGCTTTTTTCTGCACGCATGCTTGCGCTCACAGTATTTGTGGAGGCCTTCTACATGCCAGGCATTGGGCTGGGCACTAAGGGTACCATGAAAACCTGGGTGAGATTCATTATATTAGTAACACACATAGCTGTTTACTCCTGGGGCTGGGGATTAAGCTCAGCAGCAAAAGCGCCTGCCTGGCAAGCGCAAGGTCGTGAGTTCGGTTCCTGGTACTGGAGAAAAAACCAAAAACAAAAAAAAGCTGTTTACTCCTGAGCTGTAATGAGCTCTGCGAAGGAAAGGTATACAAGGGGCAGTAGTATCTTCTGTGGCCATAAATAGTACCTTCTATTCCATAAAGTATCTTCTATGGAAAAAAAAATCTATAAATACGGTGAAATTCTGAGGCAGCTGGGCACTCCAAAGGCCATCTTGTTGGGGAAGAAGATGACTTGTTGAAGCAGCAGCTTTAGGAACTGTAAATTGTATTGGGTTATATCCAAAGATCTCACATACTGATCCAGTTACCTCAGTTAGATCCAGTTATATCCCTCAGTTAGACATCAGTGTCTCCTCATTTTCAAGAAAATTTGGTATAAATTCTTCTAATATTTAAGATCTTTCATTATAAATCTACTACCTGCTTTTCCAGGCTAAGCACCATGGCCTCTTCCTAGTATCCTGCGTGTAAATAAATCGAATCACCTGTCCTTCAGAGCATCCACACCTTTGGCAAGCTAGCTCCTCACCCAGAGTAGGTTCTTCTCCTTTCTTCTCAGATCATACCTACTTTCAGCAAACCATCACAGGCGTCCTGTACTTCCTGGCATCTTTCCTGATCTTTTCATCTGTATAGGAGTATCTCTTCCTGAATCTTACAACTATTTTTTTATTTAAAAACATCTCTTAAGACTTCTGGACCCCTCTGTCTTATTATCTAATCATGTATTTCAACCAAGAAAAACTTCCTTAGAGGTAGGACTTAATCTTTTTTACCTCTCAGTCTGTTGACATGCTATCATTTAGACAGGAAGTTCTTTGTAAATAAAATTTAACCGAGTTATTTGATACACTACTAACACTTAATGTTTAATTACTCCAAGTAATCTATAGTTATGGAGGGGGTATTTAGCCATATGAAACAGAACAGCAGGCTGACTGAGTTGGGCTGGCCTAATGCTTCAGAACCTCACAACTCCTTGGGCGTGTCTGCCCTCTGCCTACTCTTTAGGCATAACACACATATTGGAGGGTGACAGGGATGTCACAGCTCTGAAATAGGCAGCAGGAATATGTATTTCCCAGCTCACATAGTTAGCTGTGGACACTGGACATGACCATTTCCTCAGTGTTGTCTGTCCCTTTGGCCCTTTTACTCTATCTTGAAGATCAGTTCCCTAAAAGTACTTTATACTGTATATATAGTCAGCAGCAAAGCCCTCCTCCAGGCCAGGAGCATGGATCCTGTACACACCTGGGTTCTGCCTCTGCCACCACCCAAGCGTCGATTAAAAGACTGATGGAGGGAATAACACTGACAATGAAAGATGGGAGAGAAAGAGTGCAAGGAATGCAACTGGAATTTACAAGGCTCCTCTTCCTGGTGGAGGCCGGGTGTGGGCTGCAGGATTTATACGACTTTATGTGAGGAGGCAAAGGGCCTGGGAGCCTTGGAGCCCTGTCGTCCAGATCCCTGCTGGTCCATGCTGTAGAACCTGGTCAGGTCTGTCCTCGCCTCCTGCAGTGGTGCTTGCAGGGGTGGTAAGAGGACCTGTTCACTTTCCAGGTGTGACCATGGCCCAGTGGTCCTCGCTGGCTGGCTCCACTACCACAGTTGGGACAGCCCATGTCCTCCACTGGGTCCCATCCAGGCTGCACATGCCTCAGAGGATCGCCTTCTGTTACCTTCTGACTCTCCACTCAGCCTTCCTTATGCAGGTGTGGGAAAATCTTCCTATTTTCCCTGAAACACAGCATTGATGAGGGCATGAGACAAGAGAGTCCAAACTGACCATTTCTTCTCTATTCTCTCAGGCCCTGAGCTTGGTCAGACCAAGGCACAACTGCAGCTGGCCCACTCTGCGGCCCTGTCTCCTTCCCATGGCCACAGTCCCAGTTCTGCTCTCTCCCTGTGTCCTCACTGCTGCTGTGTGTGTCCTCCTCCGGCCTCTTCTCAGAGCTCAAATAGGGAGGGAGAGAGAAGGTTCCTGTCCTCAGCTTTCCCTTCAACCTTCTGAGGTTCTCATCCAGAGTGGGGTTTCAGCACTTAGGCCTGATTGCTGGTTTTCCCTACTTCTGGGTCTTTCCTTTCACTCATTTAGGGGACCTATGGACTCCTGCCTTCCTTTTCTTAAGTAGATAACATATTCTTTATCTAACTTTCCTTCCATCATAATCTTTTCCAATGTTGGCAGAAGGAGTGTCCTCTCTATCATATATACATGTATATATTTATAAAATCCAAGTCTACCAAGGATAGTTGAGACAAAACCATCATAGGACAACTAGGAACTGGGGACTAATAGGAACAAAATGCTTTGCTTTAATTAAAGGACTAGGAAAAATTTTAATTTCCTGTAATCTGGAAATAACCAGTCAGAACCAACACCAGCCATACATAGCTAGTTATCATCAGAGTAGTAAATACCATACAAGTTAAAATCTTCCCTGGGTCCAATATCCTGAAATATCTCCTACCTTGAGGGTATTTTCTGAAGGCATCCTGGAACCTCTGGAAGTCCATCAAGGAGAGATCAGGTAAAGAAAATGAGAAAGTCCTTTGTTGTTTCTCCAGTGCTGTCCATCCCCAGAAGTGTCTGCACCCCACAGCACCCCTTTCTGTAGGAGGCCAACCAAGGGAAAGATAATGGCTAAATTCCATAAAGCCAGGCTTATAGTTGGTGGTACCCAACTATACTCCCAGAACTCTGAGAGGCTGAGGCTGGAGGATCACAAGTCTGATCCCTGCCTGGGCAGCTTAGTGACTTGTCTCAAAATAAAATATTAGGGGAGGCTGGGGATGTAACTTAATGTGAAGGCCTGGATTCAGGAGAGAGAAGAAGAGAGAGAGAGATTGATTCATGATGTTGGTGCTATAAAATCATATCATATGATGAATGTGAACATTATGTATATCAAGAATGTACCATTTATATTAATTTTAAAAAGGAAAAAGCAAACAAGAAAAGCACACCCCGAAACACTCCCACATGGTGACACACCTCCAAACACTCCCACGTAGCTCTGTTTATTCCCCCAGAGCTGCTCTCTTTGTCTGGTGTAAAAATGGTTTTTACACACTGGTAACGCATGTTCTGAATTATGTCCTTAGGTGATTAGGAAGAAATACCCAACAGATGGCTCTGAGATTGTGCTGCTGACAGATGGGGAGGACAACACTATCAGCGGGTGCTTTAATGAGGTGAAGCAAAGTGGAGCCATAATCCACACAGTCGCCCTAGGGCCCTCGGCAGCTAAAGAGCTGGAGCAGCTGGCTCAAATGACAGGTGAGAGATGACCGATTGGGTAAGACCCACTGCACTATCCTTCCCACTGGACTGAGAACTCCATGAACTGGACAGGAGCAGGAATTGGGGTGAAGAGAGATGGGAGTGGTCTCCTTACCATGAAAATGAGCTCCATCCACTTATTTTAAGACCTTGGTCTAGGAATAGGGCAGTCTGGAGAAGACAGGTCAAACATGCTGCCTTAGTGAGGAGTCAGGCCTGCTTTCTTTCCAGGCACCTTATAAGAACTAAGAGGACTCTAATGCATTAACCAGGGGCCACTTACGTTCATTTGACAGTGACCAAAAGACACAGGGGAGACAAGTAACAAGCCACTGACTGCATACTACCGTGATGTAAGTGTTATATTAGCAATAGAAAGTACTACAAGGCACAGAGAAGGGAGAATTTAACCTTTCCTGGGGAAGGAAGTCCTGGGAAGCAGAGCAAGCAGTAGCAGGGAAGGGCAAAGAGCCTCATGAACAGAACGAAGCAGAGGTTTGCTCCACAATGTAGTGTATAATGCAGTTTCTCTATAAAACATTCATGTACCATATATCTAATTCCCACAAACAGATGGGTTAACTAGATCCCACAGGTCTCTGGCTACTTTAGCAGAGTAGGGGAGCACAATCTGTTTCTTTATATTACTTAGGTAGGGATGGTATGCAGCTTATAAATTATTATCTTGAGCTGCCTTTTGGGGCAACTTGGATGGCATTTTAATAGTTTAAATATAATTTCACATTAACTGGGTTAGTTATACTCATTCTAAATAGCCCAAAATTGTCAAGCTTGGTGTACAATCTTGTTTTTACTAGGTATCCTACTCTCTATAACTGTTCTTTTGTGTGCTGTTATTTCTTGCTGTGGTCACCTACATGTCTTAGTTGAGTTAGAAGAAAACTGAAGAGCTAAGTGTGATAGAATTATATCTCAAGCATAAACCAATCACCAATGAAAGATGCAACAGCAATACAGAAGGTGTCCTTCTTGCCTCAAGGTGAGACCACCTTGGTCCCACCGTGATTCACTTCCTGATGCAGAGACCCCTGGGCCAGCTTTCTGCTAGACTCCAAATTTAGCTTCTCCCCTGATCTTTCCATCCCTTCCTGCTCCCTTTTTATTTGAGAACTTTCTTTCCCTAATCACATGTGCCCAAATGCCTGAGAGAGGCTTAATGAATTTGCTCATGTCCAACTACACGATTTTTAAAATTAGGTTTTATAATATTAATTTTAGCTTCTGAGAGAGTCAAGCTAATATGCACACAGTTGAAGCAGCCCGATAGGTGACAGAGTTATTGCTAAAGCTTTAATTACTAGGATTAAAAATTTAGTATCACCTTCCGAGTTAATCTGTGCATACATTTGATGTTGATCTATTTTTACCGTAATAACACAATGGAATATTTATTGTATGTATTCTGCCATTTTAGCAACAGCTAAAGTGTTGCAAACACTTGCGTTCTGGAAAATAACCTCTGATGATGTAATTGCATTTTAGGAGGTTTGCAGACATATGCTTCCGATCAAGCTCAAAACAATGGCCTCATTGATGCTTTTGGGGCCCTTTCCTCAGGAAATGGAGCCGTCTCTCAGCGCTCCATCCAGGTAGGAGTTTTTCCTCCTTGTTTTTATTTATTTATTTATTTAGTGTGTATGTATATACATGCATGTGTTTATACCTAATCATGGCCAAGGTACAAAATTTAATGGTTAAAAATTTTAAATTCTATATTCCTCTAATATTGCATTAAAATGAAAATAAAAGATTCAATCTAATATTAGTTATTATTCCTAAAATGCAACACTACTCATCTAAATGAGGCAATTAATTTTTACTTGTTTAGAAATAAAACTTAGTGAATTCCTCTAGAAATCAGCAACATAAAATATAATGGGTCCAAGAATTCTTAACATCTGCTAACAAGCACCCGTAACAATATAATTGGCTCAGAATTTTCTTCAGAGTAGATCATCTCAATTACAAATTTTCTGGGATACGTGTTCAGGGATTACTAGCTCTATTTTTCCATTACCTCAAATCTCTAATATTTGCCAGGATTGTTATAGAACACAGGGAAGCACTTTGCACTGTGGGAAAGTCTATGCTGTCCTTTCAGCTGCCTGGACTTCAGTCCTCAGTCTGTCATTAACTCTGACCATAAGCAAAACCTATCTAGGTACGAACCAGAAAATGTCCATGACCCCATCTGGTTCCAAAATTTATAGAAAATCAAATTGTCTTCCAAAATTCTTGGGACTATTTTTAAGAGAACAAATGCATTTAAAATGCTCTTTTGTGACAGCTGCAGATATTACACAAGAATTTTTAAACTACAGAGAGTAAACAATCACTAATGACATTAGTGCAAATTATAAGTTTTATTATAAAAGTTTGGGTAGATGTAAAAGAATACAGGAATGTCCAAGCCTAAATGTCACATTTCAAAACCATAGGCTTTTGGGTCTACTAATAAGGGCGCTGGCCTAGGACCACCAGTCTCCTTCTCAGGGACATAGGACAGGATAAAACATGGACAAGATTTTTTTTAGTTACAAGGGTCACTGGGATGGTCAGAGCCCAGTAAGACACAGTGTGGTGTCCTCGGCCTTTATTAGGTGCCCCGCTTGATTGGGGGATGTGCTGGTGGGCTGCAAGAAAGAATGAGGGTGAACTGCTGACATGGCCAAGTTTCAAGAATTGAGGAACAATGCATTTATGGAAAAACACACAGGAGCAGATCATGGGTAACTAGTAACCTGACTGTCTGCTAATGGCAGCTACTGAGCTATTCAAGTCTTCAGCTGCCGTGGTATCTTGCTTTGAGTTGCCAGAACTTCACAGGCTGTTTGCTAGCCTCAGTTCTGGCCATTGGCTTAAAATTATTCTGTCTTTCAGCAAGCTGAGGGTCTCACCACAAGTTATGCAGGCCTAGGGCAGACTCTCAATTTATTTTTGTGCCAGTTTATTCATGCTAATTATTGTCTGCTCTGTATGACATCAAGCTGGTCCTCAGCATCTACTGATATAGCATTAATTAAATCTAGGAAAATAGTGACCATACCTGTCTGGGTTATCCTAGATCAGATTTAGAAAATTAAACTCAAGAGTCTGGTTTGAAAATGAAAGGAATATGTGGGAGGAAAGCAGTTAAACTGATGAAATGACAAACTCACTGGCAGTTTCTAGGAACTGTTTTTATATAAAGAAACCAAAGAGGTAGAGAGATGGAGAATGGAAGGACTTACTTACCTACCTGCCACAGAATCAGATCTAAGAGCCTGTCATTTGCAGATCATTTGTAATCTACCTGTGAAACTAGGACAACTGGCTCCATGACTAGGCCACTCTGTCTTCTCACAGGCATCACCTTGAGGACAATTAATATCTAGCACATAATCCTCAAAGTCATTTTCTACATAAGGCTGATTAATCCTTCCCCACTTCAATCCCTGCTCTGTAGCTCCTCTACTCCAAAAAACAAATTCACCGTGGTCATCAACATATTTCATCTACCTTCATAGGGACGTTGGGCATGCTCAGCCTAGCAGTTATCTGTAATTCAAATAATCTATGTGTGGGTAAAAAATAAGTCACAGCAAATCCTTTAAGGTTTATAGTTTAGTGATGAGCCATGTCCCTTCATAACTCTAAGATAAGTACAGTGTGATGAACACTGGGTAAAGGTAAAAGAATACAGGAATGTCTAAGCCTAAATGTCACATTTCAAAACCATAAATGGTCACAACTAGAGACCATACTCATAAGTGAAATAAATCAAACATACATGTGCAAGCACCACATTGTTTCACTAGTGTAAAACCTGAAAGAGTTAATTTGAACTAGGAGATATGATAGACATTGTGAATTGATAGGAAAGCACTCAAAGGTAAAGGGCAACTGGGATGTGGGAAAAGAGAAGGGAAAGAAGGAGAAATTTTGTACGTATGTATATGCAGGATAGTTAACATGGCTGCTCTACTGTCTTGTATTTCTTTGCTGAAAGAAACTGTCAATGAGTCCTTGGTTGATCAGCATTGCATGTCTATATCTGTTTTCATGAGAAACCACTTTGAAGATATCAATATGTAATACAACAAGCATTGTTAATTCCCTACCACTTTGTTTGTAACTCTGTACTGTCTGTACTGTTCTTTTGCTATTTTGTAAAATGTTGTCTGTCTGTTAATATTTTCCTCCTTTTAGTTTTAAAATTTAAAAAAAGGGCTGGGGATTTAGCTCAGCGGCAAAGCGCCTGCCTGGCAAGCGCAAGGTCGTGAGTTCGGTTCCCAGTACTGGAGAAAAACCATTAAAAAAAAAAAGTTCTGCTTATAAAAAAAAAAAAAAAAAAAACCATAGGCTTTTGGGTCTACTTATCAGGGCCCTGGCCTAGGACCACTAATCTCTATCAGTGAACTAATAGAAATAAAATTCTATAAGAGTTCACAGGAAGGAAAGATATTGTTTCAGTAATAAATGAAGAACATAAAAGAAAGTTTCATGGACAAAGTGATCAAGGGAGTTACTGGGGATTGAACTCAATCTTAGGTCTTAGCACTAAGCTATATCCCCAGCCATGTTTTCTTTTTCCTGAGACACGGTCTTGCTAAATCACTACATTGTCCAGGTTGGGCTTGAATTAATAATCCTCCTACCTCAGCTTCCCAGAGTGTTGAGCTTACAGGCTTGTGCCAGCATGCCCAGCTGAGAAAGCGAGAGTTGAACTCAATTTTTAAGGATGAGTAAGATTTAGAAAAGTGGAGAGAAATATAAACACTTCTAGGAAAATAGACAGTGAAAGAAAGTCATAGATTTATAAAAGTTAGAGATTGACTGAATTTAGGGATTTAGTAAAGTCAGGGATTCATAAGGATTCTTTGAGAAAGTGGTCTTGTTTCAGCAGAAAATTGTGTAAGCTAAGGCTAGAAAGGTAATTTAGATCTGGATCATAATAGTTGCAAGCACCAAATCAGGACTCATGCATTACTGATGGTTTTGTACTTGGAAGTGGGAGGAGTGGAAAAGATAATTCAGTGTGAGCTGTGTTCTGCAGAAGGTAAAGAGTTGTTTTCTTAACAGCTGGAGAGTAAGGGATCAACCCTCAAGAACCTTCAGTGGATGAATGGCACAGTGACTGTGGATAGCACAGTAGGAAAGGACACTTTGTTTCTTATCACCTGGACAACGCAGCAGCCCCAAATTTTTCTCTGGGACCCCAGTGGAACGAGACAGAATGGTTTTGTAGTGGACACAGCCACCAAAATGGCCTACCTCCAAGTCCCAGACATTGCGAAGGTATGGAGTCAGGTTTTTTTTCTTTCCTTCTTATAACCTGACAAGATAAAACAAAATTTAAACAAAATAATTGTGGCTTTAAAAATGTTGGTAGGTGTTAAAAGGAGAGTAAGTACTGAATCAAGAAGAAAATGATGGAAAAATCTCCATCCAATGGAAAATCGCTCTGTTTGCCAGCAGATGGAAAGGAAATTGATGATGTTTTCTCAGATATTAAAGGGAGAATCTTCAATTACATAGCACGGAAGATGCAAAACAACTCTTGAAGTTTTGACAACACAAAAGAGGTTCCTTCTACCTCAGAAATCCATCCCTTAGGAAACCAAGGCAATGATAAATGAAGGCATGGCTTTCAGACCTCATTTTCTGATTGGGATCTTCTCAACTATGGGAAACATGTAGTCTGTTCGAACACTCTGAAAATTGCCCTGGCTAACAAAGTGTCAGTGACACCCACATCTTAGATGTGCTTGCAGCACACTTGTGTCAGGCAGCCTTTTCCTATAGGCGACACTGAAGGTAAGCCTTTGTCACACAGTTATTTATTGGAAATGTCTGCATCTATTTTGACCAGGTTGGCAATTGGAAATACAGTCTGCAAGCAAGCTCACAAACTGTCACTCTAACTGTCACCTCTCGTGCATCAAGTGCTACCCTGCCTCCAATTACAGTGACCTCCAGAATGAACAAAGACACAGGCAGATTCCCCAGTCCTATGGTAGTCTATGCAAATATTCGCCAGGGAAACTCACCAATTCTCAGGGCCAGTGTCACAGCTGTGATTGAATCAGCAAATGGAAAAACAGATACCTTGGAATTACTGGATAATGGAGCAGGTAACCATCCAAGAAATTGGAAAATATATTTTTGTTTTTCCAAGAAGCAACCAGGGAATGGCAGGATATGGGTCTGGTGAAAGAGCCCAGTATTGGATGGCTGGCTGAAAGAATCCTCTCTCCCCATAACTCCTGTACTCCAAAATGTTGGAAAACATGAAGAAAGAGCTTTCCTTAGCTTTTCCAAAACCAAAATGCATCGGCTCAATAGACTCGGTAGACTCTAGGGAGTTTTCAGACCAAACTAAAAGAAGATAAACTAATAGCTTATTTTGTGTTATTCTCCCCAATACACACTTCCCTCTCTTCCTCTCTCTCCCCTTTTCTGTCCACACACACACACACACACACTGCACAGTTGTGTGTATATGTATACAAAAGCATACATACAAAGATATATAGATGTATAGCTTCATTTTTATGTTTACCATTCATTTTTAGACATTATTATCCTTCCATTACAGTGAATAAGTGAAGGCTTTCATATCTCAAAAACAGCAGCAATGTATCCCAGCACACTTCTCATGATTCCTATGTCTGTGCAGACTTGATGTTAGCTTTCTCCCAAAGTGAAATCTCTGCCCATTATTCTTGTATTCAAGAAAATTATCAGAGAGTGAAAAAGAATTCTACATTTCTTTCCAGAAGGAATATGTCTGCTTACTAGGATGCAAATATCCTCATTAGAATGAATTTCCCAGCTAAAGCTACCTTGGGGAGAAGTCAGAAATTTTATTAAATAATTATATAACACATTTTCTTCCCAGTCACATACAGTAATTCAACTCTGGCTGAATACATACTTATGAAATAGTTACCTTGTGCTATGTTGGATGTAACAGAGACACAGGACCTGATCTCTGATTTCAAAAAGAATGAATAATTCAAGCAAAGATAGATACATATAAAACTATACACAGATAGTGGTAAAATAAGAAGCAGGCCTCTTCCTGAGCATAATAAAATCTTAAGGTCTTTTGGAAATAATGCTGAATTTCTTTTTGCTGTGAGAAATGCTAACCTATATATGAATGTCCAGATGCCTTTAACACATTCATTATTTCCTTTATTTCCTTGTCCAGGTGCTGATGCTACTAAGAATGATGGTGTCTACTCGAGGTATTTTACAGCTTATGATACAAATGGAAGATACAGTGTGAAAATATGGGCCCTGGGAGGAATTAATACAGCTGGACAGAGGGCAGTGCCCCAGCCAAATGGAGCCATGTATATGCCTGGCTGGATTGAGAATGGTAAGTAATCTGGCTAGAGTAAAAGGCTTGGGAGCAGCAGGAAACCATTAAGCCTGTGACGCAGGGTGATTCAGGATGGACTGAGGGTTTATCGACCTTGGTACTATTGGTATTTTGGGCCGGACAGCCTTTTGCTGTAGGGCGCACTGTGCTGAGTATTATAGATTGTTTAGCAACATCCTCGGCCTCCTCTCATCAAGAGGTCAGGAGCGGGGGCTGGGGGTTTAGCTCAGCGGCAAAGCGCCTGCCTGGCAAGTGCAAGGTCGTGAGTTCAGTTCCCGGTACCAGAGAAAAACCAAAACCAAAAAAAAAAAAAAAAAGAGGTCAGGAGCCTCCCTCAGTAATGACAATAAAAAATGTCCCAGATACCATCCATTGTCCTCTCAGGAGGCAAACTAGTTGAAAACCACTTGACAAAATGTAACTTTTGACTGTCTTGGTATAAATCCTAGCCCTCTATCAAATAAAATGTAAAATTTACTTTTGCTTCACTTTTCTCTGTTGTAGAGATAATAATAATAATGCCTCATTTGATGGTAGTGAGGAATAAATAGGGAAATATATCTAGTACATTGCTGCTAGAAATTATTGTTTAATAAGCTTTTTTATTTTTAAAAAACATTAAAATAATGTTGTAATGAAGCTCATTTCACTGATATTAACATTACCACAAAGTGAAAATATAAATTAGAACATGTTATCTACATCAGTACTTCCATAAGCCCACTCTCTCCCTATCCTCCCTTCTTCACCATTTCCTCCTGTGGCTCAGACCGAGGAGGACAGTAGACTAGTCTGATACTGGCCAGCACATTGAGCCCACATGTAACCAGATGGCAAAATGATGTCTATGAAATAGGTAATTCTCTACCACTCTTGTTACAATATCCTGCCCTGGACAAGTGCAGGAATTGGGACAAAGACTGAGTCTAACAGGTTCCAGGACTTGCTTTCAATCCATCTCCACTGTGCTTTGGGCAGACCTCATCTTTTCACTCAAGTGGAGAATAAAGACCTTGTCTCTTTTCCTGGGTGAAGGAGGATTCTGGGATATATGGTGTCCTCTCAGCAAAGATGATTTTAGGAAAAACATGCTTTAAAAGATACCTACCTTAGTTACTTTCTTCTAGCTGGAACAGAATATCCAACAGCCATAAGTTAAAAAAGGAAAGGTTTATTTAACTCACACTTTGTAGCTAAAAGGTGGCTCCAAGTCATGTTGGCATGGAAGAAGGACATGGTAGAGAAGCAATCCATGGCAGGGCAGGTAGCAGACAGCAACTTCCCTTCTTCTTTCCCTTTTTATTCCACCTGAGCTATAACCCTATTGGTTAGTACCTCCCAAACTCAGGGTGAGTCTTCCCTCTTCAGGGAGTCCATCTCCCTTACTTGGAACTGTGTTAAGCCAGTAAGTGGACAAATCCAGTAACGCACACCCATGATTCAAAGCCCCACCTACAAGTACATATAGCTTTGAGGGGACATCTAGATACAAGCCATAACAACACCATTCCCCCTAAGATTCTTTCATATAGTTCAGCTTATTTTATTCTTTTTTCTTCTTGAGTTAGGGTGAAAATGTAGGAGAGGAGAGGTTCGGTGACTAACTTTAGCCTTTACCCCTTTCACAGAGGAATAGAGGATAGAGAGGCTATTAGTCCATTGATAATAGTAATAAAATCTTATGTGGTGCTGGGAAGCGGTCTTCTTCTCTCTATTCCTTGACAAGCCTTAGTAGTGAGGAGAAGTCTCTGTTGATAAACCAAATACATGAACCTACCAAAGCATCCACTTCATCTTTGCTGAAGATGTAGTTAGTAGGTATATAGATAAATCTGTCTTTATAGAGAAAAATATGAGAGGTAAAGAAGTAGAGTTTAAGAGAAAGTAAATTCTGAGTAATGCCATTTTAGGTTATAGTAATATTTTCATTAAAAAGATAGTCTGAGTACCCCAATGAAGAGGCTAGAGTATTTGTTTGAATCCAAAGATTACTTTTATACCACAAGAAGAGTGTGATAGAGTCTTTCATACCACAAGAATTGGGATTGCTGCAAGAACAAAGTTCCCACGAGTTCATTAAGCAAAGTCTTTCAGAAGTATAAGATTTTGGAATTCTTAACATAAAACATTTAATGAGAATATGTAATCAAACAAGAAAAATAAAACACAAATATGGAGAAAGTGAAAGAAAAATGCTTAGAATAAACGACCAAGGGAATTCTCGAAGGCCTAGATGATTCAATGTTAAATAAACGGGAAAGATCATGAAGCTTACAGTATGTTTATCTGGATGATAAAGATGTCTTAAGGGAATCTGAGGTGTAAGATAGAGGCAGCATTTAGACTGACTTTGTGGAAGGGTAAAACCAAGATAGTCAGAGAATGAAAAAGAGATAATTCCAGGGCAAATGTTATTAAAGCAAATTGCAAAAGGCTATTCACTAAATCTCCTGAAAATATCTGCAATATTAAAAAATCATTCTTTTTTTCCTCTCTGATGCAACCTGATTTGAAGTCTTATACCTGAGCTGCTAAAGTGAGCACAGACTTGGCGTCTTGTCATCAGACATTTAATATGAATGTCGTGTGTGGGAGGAAAGAAAAGTCAGAAGAGGGTTATCCAATAAAAAAGAAAGAGAGGCATAGCCATTTAGTGGTGTTGCTTACTATATTTTGAATAATCTTTTAATGCAGGTAAAATAAAATTGAATCCACCAAGACTTGAAAATAATAAGACTGATGTTCAAAAGAAACAAGTGTGTTTCAGCAGAACATCGTCAGGAGGTTCGTTTGTGGCCTCCAATGTCCCCAAAGCTCCCATCCCTGACCTCTTCCCACCTTGTCAAATCACCGACCTGAAGGCAAAGCTCCATGGGTACAGCCTCATCAACCTGACTTGGACAGCTCCTGGTGATGATTATGATCATGGACAAGGTAAGCTGAGTACAGTGTGGACCCTGACAAGCATTTAACAGCCAAGCAGAGGTGTAGACGGAAGTGAGGAAGGAAGGTGTGTGGGAATGCAGGGTAAGACAGAAGGCATGAGATTCTTAAATATCCTCTGAAATAAAATGTAAAGGGCTTTAAATGAGAGGGTTAGAATCTGAAAAGCTAGCCTTCTTGAGGAACACGATGTAAAAGAGAAGAGCTTTATTTTGACACCGTTTCAAAGGTTTCAGCCCATGGTTGGCAGGCTCCATGGCAGAGTCCACATGGTGGAAGAGTCTGCCACACAGGAAGGTTGCTCAAGTCATGGTGGCCAAGAAGCACAGGGAGAAGAGAGGAGCCAGGGAGAGAGACACACGCTTCCGGCTCGAGTCACCAGCGATCCGCCTCTTTGAAGAAGGTCGCACCTCTTAACAGCACATTCACCTCTATTCCTGACAGCAGCCTCATGATCACTTTCCAAACTCATGAAGATTTTGGGACCATTTTAGATCTGAGCCATAACAGGAAGGAAGAGGCTTCATCCAGGACAGGCAAACCTTGGGTTTTTTCTCAACTCTTGCCAAATTATCTTGGGATACTCCATTTTTCAGTAGTGATTTCTGGAGAAGGACTGGGAATAGAATAGAATATTTATGGAGAAGAAACGTCTTTTGGAAGAAATCTCAGGCCCTGCTGGATTTTGCTCAGAAAATGTTATCTTCTATGTGTAGCAGTGTAGGCAACACAGGGGTACTTGCTAGAAATGTAGAACCCCCAGCCCCACTCCAGATCTCATGAACTAAAGCCTGCATTTTAAGATCTCTGGGTGATTGTTACACACATTAATGTTTGAGAAGCCTTGGTATCACAATCTCCTCTATAAATAATAAAACAATAAGCAGTAATTAAACACCTTCTTCTCTTAGAACTTTTGAACAAGGTTTTTATGTCATGACCCATCCAATTTTACATGTATCGTTTTGTCAGGAAATATTAATCCTTGTCAATATGAACCATTGATTCCATGGATCCATTGGAACTTTATGGTGTGGTGATGTAATTTCTAATAGACTGAACAATTAAGATGTGAGAATGACAAGTCGCATCGCTTTTCTCTTTTTCTTTTCAGCTTCCAAGTATATCATTCGAATAAGTACAAGTATTCTTGATCTCAGAGACAAGTTCAATGACTCAGTTCAAGTAAACACGACAGATCTCATTCCAAAGGAGGCCAACTCTGAGGAAATCTTTGTGTTTGAACCAGAAAACATTCCTTTTGAAAATGGCACGGATCTTTTCATTGCTATTAAGGCTGTTGACAAGGCCAATCTGGAATCCGAAATATCCAACATTGCCCAAGTGTCTTTGTTTATCCCTCCTGCTCCAGAGACACCTAGTCCTGATGCTTCTACTGTTCCTTATCCTAATATTAGTATCAACAGCACCATTCCTGGCATTCACATTTTAAAAATCATGTGGAAGTGGCTAGGGGAATTGCAGCTGACGCTGGCCTAACACTGAATTTTCATGAGACAAGGAAAATAAATGATCATGCTAGTGATTAGAACCTTTTCTAAAATCTACTTCAGGCTTCCTGCAGGGGGCGATATAACAAAACGCTAAACAACTAGGAACACAAGTATATGTATGCATTCTCTCCCTTGAAATCCAAATGTTTAATCATTGTTAGGTCTTTTAAAAATGATTTTGAATTCTAGATAAAAGAAGCATTTTTATCAATGTAAGAGGCTATCTTTTAAATCAGTTTTAAGAAGCTTTGCCTGCTAAAAAGGACATGCAATTGCTGTTAATCTAATGAGTAGCTAAACGATTTTGTTTTCATTTAAACGATGCCAGAAATGCCCAAGCTAAATTATATAAAGCATGACTTGTAATATATGAGATTAGGAATGTGTCTTCATGTTTCCAGATCTGAGCAAGGATACTACCTGTAAGGAAGGGTTTTGCAATATAGAAAGAGATAACAGCATGAAGGTTCCACACACATGTATGCTACATGCATGAAATTACAAGTCAGTGATGCTTAAAAACACAGTGGCAAGCGATGCGGTGGGAAAGGTCCTCCAGGCCAGGAGGGAAGAGAACGTGTTTGAGAAATAAACATTTATGTGTGCCTTGTACCAAGTGCTCTGTTAATTGCTCTATGTACATTAGATTATTTAATGCAACTCAAATCATTCAACAAATGTCCATCGGCAGCCAACTATATTCCAGGCCTGTGTGAGGCTCCAAGGATAGAAAGGGAAGTAAGAGTTGACCTTTATCCTGAAAGCAGTGAAGAACTTTTGAGGATTTACTTCTAAAATCAAGAGGCAGATATGATCAGGACTGTGATTGAGAAAGGGACTTTTGAGGACCCCAGGAGTGACTGTAAAAAGGTGGGAGAAGCTAGAAGCATGGCAGATGAAAGGAAAGGAGAAGGAAAGGAAAAAGGAAGGTAAATACAGAAATAGTAATGGGGCATTCCCAGTGCTCCCAAGGGCTGATATTCTTCTGAAAGTGTTTCACATTCTCTGTCCATTAGCATAATGAGTTTAAGATATGGGTGGCTCTCTGCATGACTGAAAACAAAATATTTAGGATATTGTTTCTACCTAGATCCAAAATTTATTTATTTATTTATTTATGTACAGACCTTTTTTATTTCAAAACAGGATTTGAGGCACCTTAGAGATATATACAATAAGAAAAACAAAAATATTTATTTATTTATTTATGTACAGACCTTTTTTATTTCAAAACAGGATTTGAGGCACCTTAGAGATATATACAATAAGAAAAACAAAAACATGGAGTGAAGAAATATATAACAGAAACTAAAGGCCAGGTGTTGAGTGTATACCTATAGTTCCAGAACTCAAGAGGCTGAGGCAGGAAGATCATAAGTTGGAGGACAACCTGGAAATTTAGAGAGTTCAAGGCCAGCCTGGACTACATAGCAAGACATGATCTCAAAAACAAAAACACAACAATAGGAAGGCTCACACATCCAGTGCATAATATAATGTTCTGCAAAAGGAAATGATACTTAAACTTTTACAATGTTTGGCCATAAGTATAAAGAGGAGAGAAAAGCGATAGAAAAGAAGCTAAACAACCCATCCATTTCACCAAATATTACTGTAACTTCTAATTAGTCATGTTGGGCAGATACCTTGCTAGACACACTTTGAAATGACAATGGGGACTTAATTATTTCATTTACCTGAGCATAATATGGTGACATCAACAATAGCAAAAGAATGAGACTGCAAGACAGGAAGGGGGCAGAAAAAGAAAGAGCTAGAGAGAGAAAAAAAGGGAGAGGGAGAGAGAGAATATAAGTAATAATATGTTTTTGGAAATTATAATTTTAAAAATCTACCTGACATATGGCCTCAGCGGATTTCACTTGTGTCCAAATAATTCTATGTGGTTTGAAAATTTGGAAGAAATCTTTTCAAAGCAACACCTTTTCTAAGCATGTTTGTTAGAATGAGTCATTAAACCAAAGAAAGAAAAGACAAAACACAAAATAGAGTTCAAGGGGCTCACAGAGAAATTCCATATTTCAAGCAGAATGATTCTAGTGAGAAGGAAATAATGAGGATAGGATAGTTCTCATTAGAAAGGCTGAGCAATGCACTTTATGTGATGGAGTCAAATGTATTCATCCCAGTTCCTAGAACTCACCTGCCCAAACGGAAACACAATAAATAGTTCTTCCTATTTTAACTGCCACTAGAGATATATCTTTTCCTAAATTTCAGAGGGGATTCCAAATCAGTAAGGTATGGAAGAGGATAAACTATGATGAACTGTAGAGTGGAAAACACAACTCCAGCTCCAGAGGAAATAGTAAGTTACCACACAGGGTCCAGCCAGGCACAAAATGCAGCTAGCTGATCCTACTGGGAGGGCAGGAGTTGGGTAGAGCATGAAGGTGGGATCCAGGCCACTGATCCATTTATTTATTTATTTATTTTGGTACCAGGAGTCGAACTCAGGACCTTGCACTTGCCAGGCAGGCGCCTGTGGCACTGAGCTATATCCCCAGCCCCACTGATCCATTTAGAGCAAGGCCTTACTACCTGAGGGTAAGAAAGTGGAAGACTACCACTACCATTATCACCCCACTGGCTAGGCCAAGGGGCAGGGAAGAGTTGAGCAGGGTTTCAAAATCTTGACCAAGAAGAGAACCACGTGATGTTCTTGTTATCATTACTCATTATTTTATCTGATAACAATAATAGTCACCATTCCTGGATGTCTACTAAGTGCCGGGTACTAAGTGCTGTACATGCTCACACCCAGCTCCTCTTGTAAAATTTGAGGCTCCTGGGGCAAGAGTACATACGATCCAGATATTGTGTGCTAAGTATAAATCATTATAAATTAAGATAACAAGCTCATAATGCTGGCAAATATACCTTCATACTGACCTGGAAAGCCAGGCTCACGATGTCATACAGGAACATGGCAGCTCTGGAGATGAACACGAGGTACCTGTTTTCTTCCAACTCTTCTCCCACCCACAGTCCAAATCCCCAGGGCTTCATGCCCATGAGTGTGGCCCCTTCAGGTCACACACCTTACCAACAGCTGTCCTTTGCCATCTTTCCAGTCTGGAGGTGCACACACAATTGACCCTGTTTGCCCCAGGGAGAACCGATCCTGGTACCAAAGTCAGCTCTGGCCTAGGCAGAACACAGAATGCGGGTCAGTTACCTGTGTGGGAACTGCAGTTCAAGTATGAGAAGTGTGTTTTATAAGGGCGGTCACTCAAGGGTGGGCACAACAACTTAGCCCTGTGCATTCACCCTGTGTCCTCCTTTATCAAAGGAGGACAAAGCTTGAGGGGCCTTATGCAAAATGAAACTACAAGACCTCTTGATCAAATGGTAGAATAATAGTATCATGAAAGCTAACGTGGTATAGAATTTTTTTTATTTCTTCCACAGTGCTTTTCTGGCCATGGTTGTTTGGTTTTATCAACCACTTAATATTGTTTTTTTTTTTTTTTTTTTTTTTGTTTTTCTCCGGTACCGGGAACCGAACTCACGACCTTGCGCTTGCCAGGCAGGCGCTTTGCCGCTGAGCTAAATCCCCAGCCCCAACCACTTAATATTGTTCTAAGAAAATAAAAATTATGATTTTAAAGAATCATACAAATTTCACCACTCATTTTATATTATGCAATGAAAGTTTTAAATACAGATGTAAGAGCACTTAACTTGTATGATGAATATCCATGCAACAGGCATTTTCTAGATTGTACCTGCCTGTGTGCTTTGCTTTGCCAGAACAGTGAAAGCATAGCATAAAACTGACGAGCGCTTTCATTTCACTGCATCTCATTCTACCACTTCTCCCTACTTTTGGCTTACTGGTGAGTTAGGAAGGGCTGGCTGTAAAGGGAAGCATGGTTCTTCCTATCTTTCTATTTCCATCTATCTCTTAATTTTCATAGGTAGTTGGCTGATATAGCGGAGGAACAACAAGAAAAGAGAATTCTTTGCTGTTCGTGGTTCTTAGAATGTCACTGCATTCTTTTTGTATGTGAAGAAAGTTCTTGTTTGAACTGAAAGTGTGGTATTTCTGTCTGTCAGGGAGCCTGTTTTTCTATCCGGAATCTGATGTGCTTGCCTTATACTGTTTAAGTCTCTGAACCCCCAGGCACTGTGGGGTCACCTGAATTCTGGGCACAAGTACCATCAGAAACCTGTTTATGATGGCACAACAAGGAACAGCAAATGACATATATGTCTGTCTTCTCCACTTACATTCTCCATGGTCCCATAGCACTTTCCTTATAAATGACAACTGCAACAATAAAGTTACTAAGAATTTCAAGACAACCACAGCAGAGCATTACAACAAGCACAGGACCCATCTTGGTTGGGGCCCATTTGTGACAGCCCAGGTCTGTTGTCCAGAAAGCCAGTCCTGGAGGAGGCACAGCCAATAAAGGGACAGAGCCCTCTAAAGAGAGGGAATGTCCTATCAAAAAGCTGTACAGTTGGGCAACTAAGCTTAGATCTGAATAACCTGTCTGTAATCTCATTGGTCTGTAAGTGATGGAAACTATATTATCTCTCTGGAAACAAAAGCCCAGTCACGTAACACGGGCCAACATTGTACACAGCTCAGATTCTCAGTTGTTCTAGTCCTCCTAGACAAGAAACATTTTCAGGTTAATTCATCGACAGGCTGGCTCCAGAAACATAGTTACAATGACACTAGCCCCATACACAAGACGCTGGCTTGATGAAGCCAGCAACTATACTAGTAATAATGATTATAGTATTTAGAATAAACATATTTATTGTTACTAATAAGAATAGCTAGTATTTACTGAGCATGTACTATGTGGCAGGTGATCCCCTAAGAGCTTCGATTGAATATTTTATTTTTCTTCACAGAAACTCTGAGGTCAGCATATTTTTATGCACACTTAACAAATCCAGAAGCTGAGGCAAAGAGTGGCTCAACAAATTGAGTCAGACCATACAACTAGTTACTGACAAAGTCAACTTGTTCAACCCAGGCAGTTCTGCTACTTTGAATCATCTCTCTACATGGATGATTTCTATGCTAGCAAGGTCTGCCCGTAGGCGAGCAGAAATAAAGTAACTGGTCCAGAAAGGATAATCAGTAGCCATTTCTAGAATATTTCAACCAGGAATTTTAATAACATTTTAATTTATCTGTTGTAAATAACTAAACTCATATCAGCCACTTTTTCTTGTATTTTACTTTTCAGAAGAGTTTTTAAGTACTATCATTATAGATCTAATTTCCATTGTGTAACCAAAATTCCATATGCGGGAAACATTTCACGCAGTTCCATATGAGGAAACATCTTGTATTTGCCTGGATATCCTGTGTACCTTCCTTATCTACACTTAAGATATAGGCAGGAACCAGGAAATAAAGGGAAAATTCCATTGATTCACAGAAGAAATTGTTCTCAACATAGCTATTGACTTTAGCATTGTGTGTCAATCAAATTTTCTAACTTGATATACATGGTTAGTTGTCTAGCTTGCTTGTTTGTTCTGTTTCCAGTTTGTATGCTAGATAATGTGCTCATGAAACTTGCTGCTTTAGCACAGCGTAGTTAATCTAGCTTGCTTTGTTGCTGTT